CCCATTTCATCCCCCGGGAGATAAACTAAACTGTGCACTCGCCGCCGCGGTCCCTTTTCCTTGCTATGTATAGAAAAGAGCAGTCCGCACCTGCAGTTATGTGCCACTCTCCTGTCAGAAAGGCATAGAAATGGTGCTGGAGGGTATGATACCGATTGCCGTCCCCTCTGCCAAAGTGAGCTACCTTAAACTTCATTTGCAGTGTAATATGGAATATTTTTTTCGTTTTATCTGCAGAAATTTCAAATGGAATCCAAATTTCTAGCTCAACCCAGCTCGGGCACCTTATGCTGGATTTCTTGACGCAATGTTCTACTCACTGGGTTATCCCCTCCCATAGAGAAGGCGAATGATGCTGGAGGGACTATTTAAAAAAGGCTGAGAGGGCAGGGCAGACCGAGGAAAAGATGGATCGCTTTCAGCTTGCTGAGATTTGTGGCGTATGCTAATGAGACGACGAGGTGGGAGAAGGAAGCTAAAGCTTCTTCTCTACGATTTCTACTAGGTGTCATCTTACGTTTCCGTCTATGACATCTATGAAATCCAAGAGATCCATTGGTCAACATTTCACTCCCTAGGTTATCGCCACACTGAGACGACGGCTTTGATGTTATGCCTTGTGCGCGTGCGATTTCGATTTGCTGTCTCTTCAGCACTGGCTCGCCATGTCGAATGCACCTGCTCTCAAGAGCTGCCTGTTTGACTGGCTGGCTGTGGCAGTGGCGGACGGCTAGCTGTCTCATCTGCATTCGCATGAAAAACCTCAGCTCGTCAGATCCGCCAGTCTCGGACCCATCAAATTGGCATTTTCCTCCACCCCGAGGTGAAAAGGAGCGAAAGACCTGAATCCTTGGGGGATTGGCCGCGGGTGGAAGGATAAGCCCGATCATAAAATGCTAATCGTCAATGACGAGCACCTTGACATGTCCCTAACGGCTAAACGACTCTTAATGAGAAACCACGCTGTCTATAGGACAGCCACTGAGATACCGCTCATCACTCTTCAGGAAATTTTGCGTGATTTTTCGCTTTAATCCTACGAATTGTTTTGCTTTCTATACTGGCGTCCTACTGAAGGGGAGGGGTACCTTCAGCGACATAAAAGTGCAAGGCTCATTCCAAAGAAAGTGCAGAAAGAGCATCAAATTGATTCCTACAGATTCTCTACCCTTCAATTGGTGCTATGATACTACACCAACAATCACTGAACCTGAAAATGCTCTAAGGTTTGAGAGAAAGTCCCGTGAATGACTTGTCCCAAAGGCCCCGAATACCACCCAACTTCATCACTATCTTTCACCTGGTTGGGAGAGCACCTCCGATATGATTAGCATCCCCTAATCCAGTCTACTTTGGAGCTTTCCTCAACTCTAGCTCCTATGCATGTGGTATGGGGAGGAGGTTTGGTGACTCAATA